TGATTCCATTGACAAGCTGCAACAACAAAGCAGCAAATCTTCCTGATTCAAGGTCACCTGTGATTCGAACTCTCATGTTTGTTTTCAGGCTGAGTCTTTGAACATGGCTCCAGGTGTAAGAATTTTTCAGGCAAGCGTTGCTTTCATCGGATGAATTTCCTCTTGAAATGACTGGTAATGTTTTTCTAAAATCACCAGAGAGTAACACAGTGATACTCCCATAAATTGTGAATTATATCTCATGTCTTTGGGTGTTTTGTCTAGGGCCTCAAAGGCTCGCGTATGTGTTATGGTACATTCATCCTAGACAATGAAGCTTGTTTCCTCCAATAGCTTAGTCAAGTTGGTTCCTCTTTTGATGTTGCAAATGAGGGTTTCCTCATATTTCAAATTTAATGAAAGTTTGAAGGTGCTGTGTGGTGTACGCCCTCCAGTCAAGAGAGTAGCAACAATTCCAGATAATGCTATTTCTAGAGCTATTTTTCTCACTGCAGATAAAAGAAGGTTAGTCACAAAGGTTTTACTAGTACCTCAGGTTCATCCAAGAAGAAAATCACATCCGTTGTTGTTGCTGATGTCATCAAGAACCTTCTGATACATTTGCTGTTGGCTTTGGTTCAACAGGGGCTCATTGTTTTGAACACATTGCCGCAGTTCTTCCATGTTGTATCCCGTTTCACTCAAAATTTCTCTGTTGATTTGTCCAGTTTCTCTATTTGGATTTGGCAGACCAAAATTGTTGAGATCTGTTTATGCCAAGTTCATCACTTTGTCTTCAAATTAACAGAGAGCTAAATTTGCAATCTGGAGATTCAATTCGAATCGTGGTTGAGCAAGTCTCATTTGATGAAAAATATCCTTACTGAGAGCCTCCTGATATTTCTCCCAAAGAGTAACTGCGTTAGAATGTTCACAGGTGGCAATCATTACTACAAAGAGATCTCTGACTTGTTTTGGAGAATTTCTACAAGTATAGGATTGGTGTATACGGAATAAATTCCAATAACCAACAAATACCATTCTTAAAAGAGTGCTCAATACAGAGTAAAGCAAATATAATTATTTGTTCGAAAATTATAACACAAATATGTTATAAAATCATTACAAAAAATAGCCATTGTGTTTCAACACTTCTGGTATGTCATCAAGTGCTGGAAGACACCAAAAGTGTTGAAACAAAATGGCTATTTTTGTAGTGATTTTATAAATATCTATTATAATTTTCGAATAAATAATAATATATATATATATATATATATATATATATATATATATATATATATATATATATAGGCATATCTTGATAAAATCTAATTGATGAATTACGTATAATCAAAACCTGACAACAATAACTAATAATAAAATAGAACAGTTATAACAATATACTCGAATCAAAATTGGGACGAATAAAAGTTATTTTTTATTGACGATCTTTGTAATCTCTTATAAAACTCTTATATTTTCATTTAAAGGAAACATTTTATGGTCTTCCTTTGACATTTTTAAATTCATCATCATTATTATCATCATCTAAGAAGCTATTACTTACCTGTTATTCTCACAACTTTACGTGAATTAATGCCATTATTATCATCAGTCCCGTGACAGGTGTGGTCACAACGTCCCAGAGTCGCGACTTAACTGACCAGTTCCCTCATTATACCTGGGTTGAAAGCCACAAATATATTCATTCATGCGTAGCGTGTTTTGGTCAAGTAGACCTGGTGGAGTCCATCCCTCGCTAGGTCAAACCACAGACGATGACCTCCGACTTGAAGGTTCGTCTTGGTCACAGAAACGTGGTCATTGCTTCCATCAGGGGTAAACTCTCAAGTTGGGCCGGTGATTTCAGTCACCGCATTTGCTCCATACATAGCTATAGAACTCACTTTATCTCATTGTGCTAGATAACCGTTCATTTGTCCTTTGTTTTTAATACTGTCTAGCCACCCACATCACCAGAAAAGCCTAGTGTGAGAACGAGTAACATTAACCTTGCACTTTGTGGTGTACGGGGTAGATAAAAGTTTATTTCTGGTGTTGGTTGCGGATAACTGAAAATGCAGAAAGCGAAACTGTTGTTAAGGGGTAGGATCATTGTAATTATTTTAATCCGGTGGAGCTGAGAGCATCAGCAAATTGGGATGTGATTGACTTCCTAATACAGAAGAGGATCAAACTTATTTATTATACCATAACTTCCCAGAAAACTTTGTTCATCAGGTAATATTTAAGCATAAAAAGTGTAATTATACTTAATATTTTATTTAAAAATAGAAAAATAGTATAGTGTTAATACTTTGATCTTTATTTACATCAACCTCAATTATTATAACTAAGTGACCCATTATACCAAGGTGTGGTGTCCCATTATACCAAGGTGTGGTGTAATGGAATGAGAAATCGGAGAGCCGGAATCAAATCCGGTCCGATTTGTTATAGAGTAGAATCCCCCATAACCGGAAACCCTCATATCCGGAGTCCCGCATATCCGGACATGATTTTGATGTGTATATTTGAACTATTTGGGTGATATGTAACTGATTTGAAATTTCTGTTTTTTAGGAAATTTTCTTTGGATAATTGCTTATGGTTATTTCACCCTAATGGCTTGTATTTGGTGCAAAGGATGATGGGAATAAAAGGAAAGGATGACAACGAGACACATATGCAATAAGATAGTGACGAGATGCATGATCGTGATGAAACCTGGACTGAAATTAAAAAAGCTATTGAAAAGGTTGTCAGTTTTATGGAAAGAAAGCCAGCATTCAGTTGTGACGGTTGTAATAACGTACGCAGAGTTCATAAGTGTCTTTCGTTTAAAAATTTCAAGAACAAATCAAAACGAAATGCGGAAAAAGTTGAGAATGAAATTAGAAGAGAAAGAATCATCATGCAACAGCGATTAAAAAATCCTTGTTACTTTATTTGTTTTGCATTAATGAATTTTCATTAACATTACATAATTTTTTTTTCCTTAAAATCAATTCCGTTATATTTCACTCTCCATTAGCTTATTTTGTTTACTATAAAACAATGAAAATAAATGTTAAACCTGATTTCAGTTCTTTTATTTTAATCTAAATATAACCCCTCACATCCGGACTTTGTAACCAATTCCTCATATCCGGAAGGCCTTCTTAGTCCGGTTGTCAGTGATTCTACTGCATTCACATACGTGCAAATTCTCTTGAGAAAGGTATGAATCCATCTCCCAATCCAGCTATGGGTTGCAAGACAGACTTAGTTGACAATCAATCTCCACAAAAAGAATGAATCGAAAGAAACATGATCACCCAAGCGTGTATCAGTTATGGCACTAAACTGATCCACTGAAGTGTTCCATATTGATTGTTTAGAGAAGTAAGTTGATAAATCAATAAATCTGTAACCTCATCATGAAAAACAACACAAAAATATTCATTTTTCAACATAATCTCCTTCTTTGTCAATATACCTAATTCATTGGTGAATATCACCATATAGACTGAACATTATATAGTAAACCTTTCAAATCAAAATTTAATTAATAACTTCACATCAGTATACGGACTTATTGATGCACTTTCATAAATAAAATGATATGTAATAGTTGTTGCTGTAACCTAGGAAAGGTTACTGAATGAGGAATAACCAAAATGAAGGTTGGAAAATATATGGTAATCTTTATAACATCAATAAAATACAGTACTCGCCAGCGGCGTGAAGTAGGTAAACTACTGCTTGTCGTGGACTACTTATATTACATCCACTTACAATAGTGTCCAACGTATTTATGAGGATTGGGACATACCCATAGGTACGGTATATACAGTTGTAATCTCAATGAGGCACATTACTTTGAACGTCTCTTGGGACTCAAGTTTGTCCTACATCTAAAATGGAACTCTTGTATATATTCTATAGCAAAAGAGGCTGGAAAAATGTTTGGCTTCTTATATTGCTTCAGAAAGTACGTGAATCCTCTTACCACAGTATATTTTTACAAGAGTCATATTAGACCCAACATGAAATATATAGTATACATAGATATACAAGGGATACATATATAGTATACATAGATATACATAGTATATCTTTACAAGAGTCAGATTAGACTCAACATGAAATATTACTGCTATATCTGGCCTGGAGCTACCCAATCATCTCTTTCAAATATTGACAGAGTTAAAGAAAAAAAAGTTGAAGCGATGAATTATTTTCCGTTTCCCACAGATAAAATGTTACAGACAAAATTTGTTATTTCATGGCAAAATTTGTTATTTCATGTCAAATGTTTAGACAAGCTACATTCTTTAGTTTCACCAGTACAGACGTTTACAGCTAAATCCCGCCATACCTTTTACACTGGGTCGGATTATCCGTATTTCACTGGAAAGAAGTTCTATTCGCGAAATCTTCTTCCGAGGAGCCGCTGCTTTGTGAAACAGACTCCTGAGAGGGTGCTTCCCCAATCACTACAATCTTAACCTTTTCAAGTCTAGGGTCAACCGTTATCTATCTTACATATCCTCATAATCTGCTCTTCTTTCCTCTTCTTATGTTCATAAAACAATTTAATTCAATAACCTTCTACTTTGAGCGTCTCTTGGGCCTTGCATTGAGTGAACATTTAATAAAAAAAGATTAAAATATGTGAAAATAGAAGAATCTTCACGCTTAGCCATCTCATGAATTTGCAATTAAAAAAAACTGAAGCAAATGGAAGAGAATTGCCAAGTGTTTATGACAGATTGAGCAGCAGCTGATCCAATAAAAGGAATTGTTTTCGTTTTGTCCCTGAAAATAGCATTAGAATCTCGCGTTAAATGTTTTCGTTATTTTGAAAATCGGTACAAAAATTCCATGGTTGCAATTACACGCTTAAAATTTTCTGTGAGTCAGAACATTACCATTCCATACGGTAGCACAAAAAGGCAATATGTATTTTAAGTGTGGCACAGAATATGGTTATTTATAGCGCATAGGAACCATGGATATTACAAGAACTAAACCAATTACTCGATTAAGAAAGAGAGAGAGAGAGAGAGAGAGAGAGAGAGAGAAAGAAAGAAAGAAAGAAAGAAAGAAAGAAAGAAAGAAAGAAAGAAAGAAAGGGAGAGCGAGAAAGAAATAGTGAGAGTGTGAGAGAAAAAGAAAAGAGTAAGAGAGAGATAAATAAAAGAGTGGAGAAAGAGAAGATGAAGAGATAGAGAGAGAGAGAGAGAGAGAGAGAGAGAGAGAGAGAGAAAGAAAGAAAGAAAGAAATAATGAGGAAGGGGTGAGTGAAAGAAAGAAGCCGAAAGTAGAAGCGAGAGGGAGGCCGATAGAAAGTGAGAGAGAAAAAGGAGAAGGTAAGAAAAGTGAGAGAAAGAAGGTAAGAAAAAGAGAGAAGAGCGAGAGAGGGAAATGGCGAGAGAGAGAGAGAGAGAAATATTGAGAGAGAGGGTTGGGCAGAAAAGAGGGAGAGTGAGAGAAGTGGGAATAGAAAAATAAAATAGTGAGAGTGACATAACCAGAAAGAACGTGAGATAGAGAGGAGAGAGAAAGAGAGAAAAAAGAATGTGAGGAAGAAGGAAAGAGTGAGATGGAGAAGGAGCGAAAGAGAAAAAGAAGAGGAGAGAAGAGGAGAGAGAAAGGGAGGGAGGGAAATAGAGGAAAACAAAGAAGAGAAGGGAGAGAAAGAGAAAAGTTTCTGGTTTGTTATCAGTTTTTTTCTTAAATAGTTTGTAGTACCGAGTTTTACAATTTCCATATTGTTTTTTTTACCCCTAAGAATACAGAGTTATGTTTTGCAGCTGTACTGAACATAACGAGGAAATTATAGAAAAAACTTATTTCATAAACAATATTTCTATAAATCATTACGCAGGTGAACATACAGGTATTGTATGTGTGAACACCTGCTTAATGATTGTATGAGTAACATAACAAACACGCAAATAAAATGACACTGTATCAGCTATTATCAATATCAAAAAGTCAATATTTTCACAAGCAGATTAGTATTAACCAACCGATGTTTGTAACACTTTCATCAGCAATATACTGTGAAACCCTGCAAAATATATACTTATCGACAATAACTTTTTTCGTGGGTGTCTAATTTTTATGCAAAAAAAAAGTGTAACATTAATGTACCGGATGTGCACGCTTCAACACGCAGGATCACAATGAACCAAATCCGGTTTATACACGTGAAGCTTCACGCATTACTTCCGGTCATAGTTACAAAAATAATTATCTGAAAGAAAGCTTTTTCAGCCAATCACAACCGCTTCTGCGTAAATCAAAAATAAGTTTTGAAGCCTATACTCGGAAATAAAAACAGTCGCAGTTTCAGTCAACACGAAAAGATGCTTACTCCAGTCGGAACTGTATGAAACTTATGGTATATAGAGATGAAAGATGGGCTAATATATAAGTAAAGGCCAAATTTACTGTCTATAGTACCCTTTTACTGTTGACTCCATTTGGTTACAGTGGTTGAAGCGGGTGACTATCGTCTTCGTCCTTTTGTGATTTGAGAGTTTATACAGGGTCGTTGTGTTTTTGGCTAACGGAAATTAATTTGTGGAATTCATCCTTTCTTCTTCTTTTTCTTCTGGAGTGTACAACTCAACATCCGATGAATCTTCAACCCTTGCATCTCGAACTGCTACACAGAACCAATCTCCCACTTCTTCTGCGTACGTGTTTTTTTTTTTCTTCTTTTTAATGGGCCTGACACATCCCTGTTGTTGCAGGCCCGGTAGGGTGCAGTGCTGGATTATACTGAGTGGCCTTGTGCCAGACACCACACTAAACTACCGAGTCTACAAGCAAAGTAAAAAGATAAAAATGTGCGTGGATGAACAACGAAAAATGTGGTTAATCCCACGTGCATGATTAAAATATATTAACAAGATAGCCTCCTCGGAATGACTGAAAAAGACTGGGTTTCAACAAGAGTAATTTTTATTAAATGCAGGAAAAAAAAACAAGTAATTTGTCCCGTGGTAGGGACCAATGAAAAAGTTCCGCGCCAAAATAGAAAACAAGATGGCTAAAGGCGGGAAGTTTCTTGAAGAAGAAGGAGATGCCAGATAAGTCAATGTACATGATAATATTCATACAAGGAAAAATACTCACTGCGAGTTTTTAGGTAATGTGAGTGAATGTTATTGTTATGTACATATATTTTTTTTTTTTTTGTACTGGTTCAAAACAGATTTCTGACGAGACCCAAAGTGGACGACGGATTGTTATTTTGTATGTTCTGCCTCGACTCGGAGTAGGACTTTGAATGACTAGTCTCAAAGGGCCGAAAAGTAATTATTTGGTATATGCATCATCTCGTAGAAGGATTTTGAATGACGATCCAAAAGGGACGCAGAATTAATATTTGGTGTTGGCATCGTAAGATATCCTTCGTCAGTCAACCTTGCATATTGACATGGCTAAAAATGAGTCTGCTTAGGTCCGAATCTGGATCACAACTGAACTTTTCTGAAACAACAGTTTGTCGTTGACGTCACAAATTTTTCGCGGGAAGATTTCAAAAATCTAATTTGCATAACAGGTCGCTTGGTTGGTGACCAAAAACAGTTACTACTGTATTAGACCGAACGAGGGAGAAAGGGGTGTCAAACGCGCGCGCGCCGCCCGCGTGTGAAAGAAAGGAGGAAACTCGCGCGCGCGTAAAATGTCGTAGATGGAATAATACATTATTCCACACAGCCCTCCTCCTGGATCAAATGTCGCAGACATTTGACTAATAATAGTAGAATGTTTCAAATTTCTTTGGAAAGGTGACTTTTCGACCGGAGCTGGTATACTTAGGTTTGTCGAGAGAGACAGGTGTCTTGAAATTCTCCTGAACTTGCGGAGTTGATTGGGAAGTAGTATGAGACGACGGTTTCTCTATAAAGGCAGGTTTCAACCGATCTATTGAAACGTTGTCGGTGTGAATACCTTTTTGTATTTGGAAATATTTGCCCGCGCGTTTAAGAACGCGGAATGGACCTGTGTAGGCCGGCGTAAGAGGCCGCTTAACAGAAGTCATTACGTACAAATACAAATTCGCAGTCCTTGAGCTGGTGCGGTAGATAGATATCACTCGGGCAGTGCCGCGGTGGTGTATAGCATAAGTTTGCCATTTTAAGGCGTAAGTCCTGAATAAAGAGGAAGAAACTGGTGGTGTGGTCACAGCTGGTGAAAAAATATTGGCCAGGTAAAGATAACGAAGTACCAAATACAAGCTCTGCAGGGGAGCATTTTTAAGTCATCCTTAAGAATATTTCTTAACGATAGAAGGATGAGGGTAATTCATCGACCCAATTATTATTCTCATGCTTCGTTGATAGCGAAGCCTTAAAGGGTGCGATGGAATCGTTCCACCAGCCCATTAGCACAGGGGTGATACGCTGTAGTACGTATATGCTTTGCACCAAGGAGTTCAGTGAATTCCCTGAAAAGACACGACTGGAACTGAGCTCCTCTATCTGTAGTAACCACTTTAGGAGTCCCAAAAATCGAAATCCAGTCGCATAAAATAGCTTTTGCGACAGTCACAGCAGTGGTATCTTTGACAGGGATGGCAGTAGGCCATCAGGAAAAAACGATCCACTATAGTTAGAAGGTAGGAATAACCATGGCAGGTTGGTAGGGGCCCAACTAAGTCCAGGTGTATATTAGTAAAACGAGCATCAGGCTCGCTGAAAGTGCCACAGGAGATTTTGTGTGTCTATGCACCTTACACTTCTGGCATTGTAAACATGTATTGACCCATTCGCGAATGTGAACGTTCATATTCGGCCAAACGAAACGGTCCGAAATTAACTTAACTGTGGCTCTTTTGCTAGGGTGTGAGAGTCCGTGTAGGTGGTCAAAAACCTGTCTACGAAGAGGACGGAGGAACATAAGTTCTTGGGGATTTGGATTTAACATCACAGTATAGGACCTTGTTACTAAAAAGGAGCTGGACATTTCTGAAGTTCTAAAGAAGTGTCTGATAACACATGCTTCAGAGTTATGTCCGCTTTCTGTTCGTCGGCGATCAAGTCTTGACTGAGTGCATCAGTATGCACGCCGAACATCTCAGTACGAGATAGGGTATCGGCAACAGTGTTATCCGAACACTTAATGTACCTAATATCAGTAGTAAATTGAGATATATAGTCCAGGTATCTGATTTCCCTCGAAGTGTATTTGTCCGAATTGGTGGACATAATGGACGTTAAAAGGTTTGTGGTCCGTAAAAAAATAACGAAGGACCTACCTTCGAGGAGGTGTCTGAAATGCTTAATGGCACGAAATATAGCCAACAGTTCACGAGAAAAGGTACTGTAGCGTGACTGGGCAGGAGAAAGTTTAGCGGAAAAAGAACGCTATAGGTCTACGTTGAGAAGGAGTGACTTGTTCAATGACCGCGCCTATTGCTGTTTCGCTAGCGTCAGTGGTCAGGTAGATATCCGATTGAGGGTCGTCCTCTAAGAAACTAAGCTTAGAAAAATTGCCTAGAGCGGTTTTAGCTGCTCGAAAGGCGTCCAAGGCTTCATTCTCAAGTATAATAGTCTTATTCTTCTTCTTCTGTAATAAATTGGTAAGGGAGTCAGGATGTTAGAACAGTTTGGAATAAACCTCCTGTAGAAGTTGATCATCCCTATAAAGCGTCTCAACTGTTTAATAGAAACAGGGACGGAAAACTCAGTGATAGCTTTAATCTTTTCAGTTAAAGGGGCAATTCCATTTGCATCGACGTGATGTCCTAAAAATTCTATATGGTCTGATCCGAAGACACATTTGTCCAGGTTTAGACGAAATCCGTAATGGGACAAACGTTGAAGAACTTCGTGTAGGTGTTGTTTATGCGAGGCAGCGTCCTCGCTAGCTATCAGAATGTCGTCAATGTAATCGAAAACAAAAGGGAGTCCACGCAGAACCTCGTCCATAAGACGTTGGAATGTCTGTGCTGCGTTGCAAAGGCCGAAAGGCATTTTCAAAAATTCAAATAGACCGAAAGGTGTAGTAACAGCAGTTTTGGGACATCAGCAGCAGCTACTGGCACCTGATAATATGCTTTTGCTAGATCTATTTTAGTAAAAATCTTTGCGCCTTGTAAACCAGAAGTGAAATCGTGGAGGTGGGGATTGGATAACGATCCCGGACGGTGATGGAATTCAATCTTCTATAATCCACACAAATTCTATAGTCCTCCTTTCCTGGTTTAGGTACTAAATGGAGAGGGAAGCGTAAGGACTGTCGGACGGACGAATAACACCCTCTCGTAGCATGTCGTCAAAGCTTTCTTTGCGAATTTTAATTTGTTAGGTGCTAGACGACGAGGACGGAAAAAAACAGGTTGACCAGTGGTCTTAATAAAGTGCTGTGTTTGATGTTTAGTTGAATCAATAGATCCAGCAGGACGCAGGAGGTCCTGGTACTGATTCAATAAGTCTAAGTACTCTTTATTGTGGCACGTTGCCACGGTGATGCCAGTGGTGGTAAGTTTAGAATAAGTGCCAAGAACACACAGTCTTGTTAAGTTGTCAGTCAGGGAATGGTTGTTCATTCGCACGGCGAGATCGTAGTGCGCCAGGAAATCTGCACCTAATATCGGCATCTGGACGTCAGCAACAGTAAAATTCCAAGTAAAGTCTCGTCGCATCCCTATGTTTAGGGTAAGGGACTTCGTACCGTAAGTATTAATACTGGAACCATCTGCTGGTTGTAAGCGGAGCTGAAAAGGTTGTTGACGAGCTTTATCACGCACGGGTAAGACACTAATGGCAGCGCCGGTATCAACCAAAAACGTAAATTATTACGCGTGTCCGTCACATAAAAAGGCGACTAAGTTTTGGTGAAAATGCCTTGCCAGCGAGATTAGTCGCTTTCACTCGCTGGCGGTTTTGTTTTCCGCGACCGCAGTATAAGTACACGGCTTGATGCAGTAATAAGCTTTAGACCCAAATCTTCGGTGGTAGTAACACATAGTAGGGTGGCATCCTTATCTCGGCTGGACGAGCGTGGTCGACTTCTGAAGCGCCGGCGGGAGGGGAACCGGCTTCGACCATGGCTTTCTATAGCTAACGTTAAATCTTTAACGGCGCTGCAAATCCTCGACTGTTTTTTTCCAAGGGAGCTGTGGTACCTGGTCGCTTCAGCACTGTGTACTGGCATTGTCTGATTATCCAGTTGCGAGAAAATACGATCAGCGGCGTCCGCTAATTGATCGATCGAGGTGTTTTCGGACATTGGCGCCAAAATTTGGGTAATGGTGGTGGGGAGACGGTCCAGCCACAAGCTTTTTAATATAGAGTCAGCCATGGTATTTTTGCCGAGTCGGCTTTTCATATAACGAAAAAGTTGGGAGGGAGTCCTGCCATCACAAGTTAGGTTGCTAAATAGTTCCCGGATTAATGACTCCTCTGTACGGCCCATTCTCCTTAAGATTGCTTCTTTTAACCGCGCGTGGGGTTCTACTTCAGGAACGGCTTCTAGGAAGTCTGAGACCTCATCGACAATGGCGGGTGGCAAAACCGCCACCACGTGGCCAAACTTGGTCTTTTTGGTCTGTAATCCTTCTGACTGTGAAAATGGCTTCCATTTGTAAGAACCAGTTCTTTATATTCCCTTCATGAAAGGGGGGGAAAAGGAGCGACGGCGGCGGACATGTTCGCCGACTCTTCAGAAGTCACTAGACGTCATTCCGGCTATCGAATTTATGCACGTTTATATTTAAGCTTGCTCAGAAATATGTTGGCAAGGTTGCAAAATTATTACGTGTTCGTATCACGTCGTAAGGTCACCAATCTTGTTGCAGGCCCGGTAGGGTGCAGTGCTGGATTATACTGAGTGGCCTTGTGCCAGACACCACACTAAACTACCGAGTCTACAAGCAAAAGTAAAAAGATAAAAAATGTGCGTGGATGAACAACGAAGAAATGTGGTTAATCCACGTGCATGATTAAAATATATTAACAAGATAGCCTCCTCGGAATGACTGAAAAAAGACTGGGTTTCAACAAGAGTAATTTTATTAAATGCAGGAAAAAAAAAAAAGTAATTTGTCCCGTGGTAGGGACCAATGAAAAAAAGTTCCGCGCCAAAATAGAAAACAAGATGGCTAAAAAGGCGGGAAGTTTCTTGAAGAAGAAGGAGATGCCAGATAAGTCAATGTACATGATAATATTCATACAAGGAAAAATACTCACTGCGAGTTTTTAGGTAATGTGAGTGAATGTTATTGTTATGTACATATATTTTTTTTTTTTTGTACTGGTTCAAAACAGATTTCTGACGAGACCCAAAGTGGACGACGGATTGTTATTTTGTATGTTCTGCCTCGACTCGGAGTAGGACTTTGAATGACTAGTCTCAAAGGGCCGAAAAGTAATTATTTGGTATATGCATCATCTCGTAGAAGGATTTTGAATGACGATCCAAAGGGACGCAGAATTAATATTTGGTGTTGGCATCGTAAGATATCCTTCGTCAGTCAACCTTGCATATTGACATGGCTAAAAAATGAGTCTGCTTAGGTCGAATCTGGATCACAACTGAACTTTTCTGAAACAACAGTTTGTCGTTGACGTCACAAATTTTTCGCGGGAAGATTTCAAAAATCTAATTTGCATAACAGGTCGCTTGGTTGGTGACCAAAAACAGTTACTACTGTATTAGACCGAACGAGGGAGAAAGAGGTGTCAAACGCGCGCGCGCGCCCGCGAGTGTGAAAGAAAGGGAGGAAACTCGCGCGCGCGTAAAATGTCGTAGATGGAATAATACATTATTCCACACTGTTTTCCGTTTGATTTTTGGTGGGGCGTGTTGTATATTTCCATATAGTGTTAGTACTACCTAATCCTACTACAAACTTTAACATTAATCATATTAGTATATGTATGCAGTGACGTATAACGAAAACTTTCTATTCCTATTCCATTATGTTCAACTTAGTTACTGAAGTCAGTCTTCTTAATCTTCAGGTTGTGAACGGTCGTGGCTATCCACACCTTCCTACTATTTTTAGATCTTAGTAAGATATGTCTTTTTACTATCCCTCCCATTCCATTTTCTGTCATCTATTGACACAAGCTCGTTAGGTAGGTTATTCACTGCTTTTCTCTGTCCCTCTTGCTTTCATTATGTCCTGGGGGTGTCAAATTCTCCAAGCCCTCTTTCCTCATTATATGTCCTAGAAATTTTAACTTTCTCATTTTGGTTCAAAGTATAAGTGTCATTTTTGTTTTCATTTTCCTTAAAACTTTCACGTTACGCACATGCTCAAACTATAGTATTTTCAGTATCCTTCTGAAACACATTTTTGTTGCCTCAAGTCTCCTCTTCATCTGTGAAGAGATTGTTCGGCATTCAGTGCCATGATGGATAACATCACACACTTTTCTTTGTTTCTAATGAATTTTTCGCTGTCTCTTAATACTTTGCTTAACTTTTGGAAGGCGTCTTTCGCTATTCTAATGCATCTTTGGATTTCGGTGTCACATTTTTCAAAATTTTAGCTCGTCTTTGAAGAAATTTACCCAATGTTTTAAAGAATTCACGCTAATATTTTTCTTCTTTGAAATATTTTGTTTTTGGAGAATTTATTTCTTCGAAAAATTTTATGTACATATTTTCCATTCATTGAAGAATTTATGCAAATATATTTCTTGTCTGAAGAATTTTTTCTCTATATATCTTATTTTTGAATAATTTTATACATATAATTTTCTATTCTAAGATTTTCATGTATAAAAAATATGTACCATTTTTTTGGTTTATTAGTTTTTTAAGTATATATTTTTATTGAAGTATTATGTGAATATTTTTGTCTTTGACTAAACATTATTTCATTGTCTTTGAACCATTTTATACAGTCTAAGAATTTTTGTTCGAATTTTTTTGTCTGACGAATTACAAGCACTTTTTTTTTTTTTTTTTACTTATTTTTCTGTCTGAATTAGTTTATGTACTTTTTGAAGAATTTTATGCTCTTACTTTTTGTCTTGTATGTGAAGAAATCTGTGTATATATTTTTCTTCTCTGTAAAAGTTTGTGTTGGATTACCAAATATTTGTTAGGTGGCCTTGGAAATATCTGACCGTTGAAAGCAGATAATTTGTCGGAGTTAACTCCTCCTTCAGTTCGTAACCCTTTCACCAGGTGTCGCTCTTCGCTGCTATAAATAGCCGCTGACCTTTCGCCTCTTTCTCTTTCTCTCTCAGGCCTTCGCGTCGATACCTGGAGGTAAATCTCTCTTTTTCATCAGGCTTTCAGCTTACAACCTCGAAATGTAGGCGCTAACAAGGGATAGCGTGGAAACACGCTAAGCACAATACACACACACACACACACACACACACACACACACACACACACGCACATATATAATATTCACACACACTTTGTCCTTTGTAACTGTTTTCATGTAACTTGTTATTAATATATATATTTGTATACATATATTATCGGTCTTGTGTTTTGTTTGTTTTCTTTGCCTTCTTCTTTGGACTTAATTAAAAGTCCAACTTTCTCGTGTAGTTGGACCAGCTAGCAGGAAAATCTGAACCGACATGTGTTTCTTCTACTTCTACTCAACAACATCACAGCCATGGTCCACTACAAATTATTCAAACATTTATAAATTTAAAAAATAAAGACGACTAAGGCGAGTTCAAAAAACATAAATGAAATTTTTATTTTCTCAAAATAGAACAGACTAACAAAATACAGAAATATGTTATATGCCTTCTCTCTGAACCTGAAAATACAAACTATTGGACATTATAAAAAGTTGTCTTTACTCACAAGCCTGACACTTTATGTCGAAAAAGGCTTGTCGGGTTACCTCCTAATTTTCGAAACCGCTGCTAGTGGGCGCTTCCCGGCACTATAAATACTCTGTAGAAGGCTAATGACAGCATAATCTAATTCTTCAAATAGAGACAAAGAGGCTTTTTAGTGATTGTAGGGAGCACTAAAAGAGTGTGCCAATTTTTACTGGGTAGAAAATTCTTGCTGAAATTCATTCATAAGTCTTTAAAATTTAGAATTACCAAAATTACAACTTCTAGAATTTTAAAATGGACCATAAAACTCATAAACTCTGATTCTGATGCTGAATGTGTTGTAGCGGACCGTGTCGGTGATGCTGAGTAGAAGTAGATGAATACACGTGGGTAGAAATTTCCTGCTAGCCGGTCCAACTACATGAGTAAGTCCAAAGAAGGCAAAGAAAAACAAACACAAGACCGATAAATATATGTAAACAAATATATGTATTAATAACAAGAAAGGTTACAAGTTACATGGACAGAGTGTGTGTGGTGAATATTATGTGTGTGTGTGTGTTGTGGTGAGTGTTTGTACGTACGTGTATTGTTCTTAGCGTGTTCCCAGCATTTGGGAAACGCTGTATCTGTGAGCGCTCACATCTGCGAGGTGGTATAAGGCCGACGCCTGAGGAAAGAGATTTACCTCAAGGTGGCGGCCCAAAGGCCTGGGGGAAAAAGAGGAAGAGGCGAAGGGTCAGCCAGTATTTATAGACAGGGAAGAGAGACCCCTGTCAAAGGATTAAGGAACTAAGGAGGAGCTAACTCCGACAGTGTAAAAGAAAATACTATTCATCATATCGATGCATTATCATGATTAAAAAGGTTTAAGAGAGTGTGTATCAGATAATATTGAAAACTGATTGAAACTGATATTGTACCTCTAAATTGCTTTGCCTCCAAAACATTACAAGATCCAATATTAATTAAAACTGCCACAAAAATAAAAAGAAACACATTGTTGGGTTACCTCTTTCTAATTTTTGAAGCCGCTACTAGGGGGCGCTTTCTGGCAGGCACTATAAATAATTGTTCGCAAATTGTTCGCAACCTCTTTTTACTTTTTACGTCAACATGTAAATTTCTCGCCGAAGAACGCGATTATAACACGTTCTCTTTTGAGAAACGCATAAACAATAAATACACACATCCGTACGTACGCACATTCACTCACTCCACATACTTTGAACCAAAAACTTTCCATATTCATTTGTTACACACATTATTGTCTTTGTCACTTGTACACCTTATTTTTCTTTGTTCATATACATCAGTTCTTGTTGTTTCTTTACATTTCTTTACGTGGACTCATATCCCAAGTCTGTCATGTTGGTTATGGGCATTTGAGCAGACACACGTGTTTATCTTTCAACGCTTACACCGGCCGCAACAGGTTATGTCTACTCACAATTTTGGGGGTAGATCTTTTCTCAGCGGAGGGTACCAGAAGACTTTTGTTTCCGTACAGACCGATGCATGCTGATTGCATATTGAGGGTCACATGACCGACCATGCTCGGCGAATACTAATTAGGGGAGAAATTCGTTCCGAATTTAATGCCACCTATTATGCTGCCAACGACGTCAAAGGTTGATGTCAGTGGTGTGG